TCTCCCACAGTACTCACCTCACCTTTGTTCTACCTTAGCGTCTGTCTCTTTTACATCTTTGAAACACTCTTCTATTCCCCCCCCCCTTCGACTTTTTTCACTTTGATATTTCTTCTCCTCTGTGAGGCCTGGAGTCACCTAAACGGCTAATGAAACTATCGAAATGCCTGCCATTTGATATAAATAAACTTCAAACAAAATAAAGTGTATTCATCATTCAATGCTTGCCTTATTTGAGCGCCTCTTGCCCAGTCACACAGATCTTTGCGAATTAAAATGGAATTTAGAGCCGACGAGCATATGTAATAGAATATTCGGTAAAATATATGCCATATTAGGAGAGAATCCGCGTGCACTTCTGTGACAAAAAAAGAAAGAAATAAAAACAAAAACAAATTTTAATTATTTAAAATATTTCACAAAAATTATGCCAGATAAAATTAACGAGATCCCACCTTGGAGGGTTTTGTAAATTTTATCAAGAGTGTTCATGAACCGATGGAAGTGGGGTTTTCGTCGAAGCCAGGTATTACGAGGTCGGAGACCACCAGCTGTCGATACTGTTAGAGCTTGACAGGACAAATTCGGGATTGGCTCGTACTCTAGTATTGCTCCTGTGATCAAATGCGGAGGTAACACNGATTTCGACTTAAAGTCATGCAATCCGTTCTATAAAGGGAATTGAAGCAAAATTAAGCAAACTTTACAAGTGCCATAGTAGTTAGAGTGTGCTCCGGTAATATTGTGATTACTGTCAATATCTACTAATTTTTTTCACGATGTTAATTCGTGCCCCTCCCAGTGAGAAGACTGACCAACCGTACTGAGCATATCTGATTAACCGAACGAGCAGAATACGAACTATCTACCCTCTATCAGTTTAATGAGTTTTTTACTACCAAAACCTATGATAGCTAATGAGCATTGAGTAGCCTATGCTCAAGTTCAAATGTGAAAATATTAGTTTCTGTGTTGTGCGCCAAACAACACAGTGATATGCCTAAAATTCACTGGAAATTAATTCTAACTCTACCATTTATTATTGGCCCAAATATATATCAATTTGGCAAAAATAAGGAACAGCTATTTATTTATTTCAAATAGCAGGCGTTATGATAGCTATCAGTAGCCATTTAGCTGACTTCGGGCTTCACAAAAGGAAGGTTCATCAAAGTAGCAGAAAGTCGAGGGGTGGAGATCAGCAGAGCGATTCACAGATGTAAAAGAGGCAGACAGACACAAAGGTAGAGAAAAAGGTAAGATGAGTACTGTGAAAGGGGTCGAATATGACAAATAGTCGGGCCATGGTAGTTTGAAGTGAGAAGTCAACTGCCGGTTAATAGACTTTTTTGCCGTATGTGTATACGTTGCCCAGGGTGCACCACGTGGAGGTAAGTCTATCGCACACCCCAGGAACAGCTATTAAAAGTCTAGAATGTTGAGTTCCACTCTAGTAATAAAGTGCTAAAGTGGTAGGCACTGAGTGCTTCCATGAGAATGTAATGTCATGCAGTTTGTCTCTCCAAGCTGCTTTCATCGAAGTCAAATCGAAAGAAAGAAGCTAACATAGTAGGCCATTATTATTAGACAAGAGTTCGTTTTGGAAATATGGAAATACGAACCCAAGCGTAATCACATATTTGCATGCTTGTATGCCAAGTAATTTCTACGTAAAGATCTTATTACATATCGGCTGTCGTAAATCGACATTTTGACAGTTATTAGTGATTAATGACACTTATTTTAACGACACTTACTCTGTCAACTCGGCTCTGTGCAATAGCGATCAACTGTCGAACATCGAAGAAATATGGTGATTCGGACAACTGTAGACATTCGGGAGCTTGTCTGTGAACCAATTCAGCAAAGTATTTTGTGGCGGAGACTAACTAGTTGTAAAAAAGGAGTGAATATCAAAAAGAAAAGAGAAAGTGTAGCATACACGTCTATTGAGTGCATTCGTTGTGGAGAGCTGATCTCGTAGTTGCAAATTCTCCTTGACTATACGAGAAACATTTGTCTCGAGTCGATCTTTCACTGCTCCTTCCTATAACATGAAAGATTAGCACAATAGGCCACTAACAAAGACTTCAATCCGATTTCACAGTTTATGTTTTTCTAAAGTATGAGAAAATCTTCTTAATAGCATCAAAAAGGGCTGCTTATATTAAACTGATTGAATTTTTTCAAATTGTAGGCATTTTGATAGTTATCATTAGCCCTTTAGTTGACTTCGGGCTTCACAGAAGAGATTAACATTAAAGTAAGAAAAATTCGACAGGGGACAGAATAATGATTCATAGATGTAAAAGAGACAGGCAGACACAAAGGCAGAGAAAAGACTAGATGAATACTGTGGAAGGGGTCGAATATGACATACCGTGGGGTGATGGTAGTCTGAAGGGAAGAAGTCAGCTGCCGGTTAATAGAAATTTTTGGCGTATGAGTATACGTTGTCCAGGGTGCGCCACGTGGAGGTAAATCTACCACACACCCCACGCTGATTGAAAGAAATTGAAAATATTTTGAAGAAATAATTAGTGGTGGTTATTTTATCTACCTTGATGAGACCAGTGTTAAGATAGGAAGAGCGGCTTCGAATATAGACAATAAGAGCACTTGAAAGGTATTCTCAGAAAAGCAAAACAATCTGGAGGTATATATTTCAGCATTTAATTCGAAGAGAACACTTCATCCTCAACTTGGAGTATTTGCTATTGGGAACAAATGAATGATCGGATTGTTGGGTTGAAGCAAAATTCTTATTAAAAACCGTAGTTTCTCTCAATAGTGTTTCTTAATCATTCTTTCCTATGTTTAACATAGGAGTTGGATTAGTAATGGCGAACGACGGTCGATTAAATATGAAGAGGTGATAGTGACGTACCTTCGACTCTTTCAGTGTTTGCAGTTCAGTCGATTGTTTAGCCACTGACATTTGCAATTGTGAATTTTCAAAATGTAGAAGTTCTATTTCCTTTTGCAGCCTTCTGGAAATAAGAACATGAACATTTCACCATTGGGGGGGGGGGTTAAGAAATGTGCTAGGTCGTCTAGGTAATCGACCTCATTGACTCCAACTAAACGTACCTAAATCTTTTCTTGAATCAATTTCGTAAAGTCTAAAAATGTTACTCATAAGTTGGTCTATTTAATTTGCTATCTATAGGAAGTGATTTAATTTCGTTCAATGTTTTTATGGAAAGTATGGACAATACGCAAATTGGCGTAGGCTGAATTATGCCGGCCAGACAATAAGATTGTTGACTCGATCATCTACTTGACGTTTGCAAGTTTCATCACAATTATAACCTGAATCTATCTGAGAGGGGTTCTCTCCAAGATCTTCTAGGCCTCTTGAGGCCGTTTTATGAGAGTCTCATATTTCATCATTGCACTCTTTGACCAGATCTAGGCAATGCAACTGACAAGCCACATCACTGACTCTACACCAGTTAGCACCCAGGTTGAGACCATTACGCCACCAGTTGCACTTTCGATCAACACAAGAAGGTGTCATGCATTTCTATAGTGTGTGTGTGTGTGTGTTTATTTTCCGTACCTATTAGACTCGCGTTGGACTTCCAGTATGGCTTCCAAATTTGTAACGTCAGTTCCGTCTGTCTGGACCTCAGATGAACAACAGTCCGATCTACTGCTTTGTTTTTCTATTAATTTCTCCAGTTGCTGAAGAGATTCTAAAATTTTAAAAAGAAGATAAGTAGAGCTTCTCCATAACTCCCTCCAATACTCCTGAGACAATTCTGTTGATTGACATTTATTACACAAAATATTTATGTTTTAAAACTTTAACGGCTTTAAAGTTTATTTATTTCAAATGGCAGGCATTTGATAGTTATCATTAGCCCTTTAGCTGACTTCGGGCTCTATAGAGGGGAGGAACAGCAAAGTCACATAAAGTCGAGGGGTGGGGAACAGAAGAGTGATTCACAGATGTAAAAGAGGCAAACACAAAGGTTGAAAAAAGGTGAGCTGAGTATTGTGAAGTGGTGGAATATGACATACAATGAGGTCATGGTAGTTTGAAGTCAGAAGTCAACTGCCAGTTTATAGACTGTTTTGCCGTATGAGTATACGTTAACCAGGGTACACCACGTGGAGATAAGTCTACCGCACACCCCACTGCTCTAAAGTAGTTTTGGACATTTGACCGAGATTGTGAAATGTGGACAGTAAGCATTAAATGGTAGCATCAGAAGTAAATACAGCTCAGATCAAAATTGAGCGTCATATATTTATACCCTGCTCCTCTTTAAAACTTGGTCTCAACTAATAGATCATAGATAGTTGCTTACTTTCAGTTTCCATTTGCCGAGTCTTAGCCAAAGCAAAGTTCGATTGATACATCTCCAGGCGTTGATAGAGTTCCTGTTTCTCAACATCTAGTAAGGCGCATTTTTGTTGCAGTTCAAAGACCAAGCCAGGTGGTTCAGCAGGAGTGTTCACTACCTATGGAGGAATAATGAATGGTTATAAATAAACTTAGTTCCCTACTTGGGCCTTTTTATTTTAATTCATACACTAACTTGAAATAAATTATTTGCAGCGTTCGGTTCATCATTCAGATCATATATGGGTTTGATTAAGCGTAAAATCGGTTGAGTTTTGCCTTTGGGGGGATAGTTGACCTGCTCATACTCTGAATCGGTATCTCCATTATGATAGCCGGTGAATCTTCTTTTATCTGGATGCGTGGTAAATCAAATAATAAAGGGTGTGAGGAGGTAATGTAGATTTCGAAATATTTGTTGTATAGTCACTGTGAAAAAAATTGAGCTTATATTATCCTCTTGTTCAATAGCCCAAGACAGCACGACTATAAAATAAAATCACACTTTTGCAATTTTAGAAAATTTCTGAAATAATTACGCCAATATTAGTTAAACTTTAGAGGGACGATAAGCACCTAAGCCCTCAAATTTGGTGCGGTATTAAATCATTTGTACTCTTAATCCTCCATTTCACAAATTGGCTCCCAATTTGTTCCAATGGGGGGAAGATTTGACCCCATTTCGACCATTTGAATTATTAAAAATGTGGCTTGAGTCTTGTTCAATCAAGGTGAAATAGTCCCCAAAAAATAATGACATTACTTTTTTTAAATATATAACAAATCAAAAAAAGTAATCGATAAATTAATCAGTTACTCTGCCTCCTTTTCTTGCTTCTTTTTGCGTTCTCCTGATTCTACAAAAGACATTTCAAACTGTTTTGACTCATTATTTAAACAAATATAAATGAAAATAACTTATAATAACTACCATTTTGGATTTCATTGCAGCGATTTCCCCATCTCGAGCATCTAGTTTATTTTGAAGAATTTCCAATTCTCTCTTCATTTTTTCCATCTGAGAATTCGCTTTATTTGCTTTTGCCGACTTTTGTGTACGAAGACGACCAAGTGTGCGATTGTATAGACTTGACTTCTTTTGGAAAGAATTTGGTGAATTCGTAACCGAACAGGTAAATATAAGTGTTACTTACTTCGCTTTTGGAATCGTACTGATTTGAATTCCTCCAATAGAGACAGAAAAAAATCAATCAAGATATAGGGAAAAAAATACGGTTTAGCGTTCTATTTAGTTTCGGTTAATTTGTAAATAACCTTCTAAAGATTGACTAATCATGTAACATCATATGGTGCACCTGCAAATTTATTATCCAAGTACTTAGATTAAAATAATCAATAATAGAGACTAGGAGGACTTGAGTTAATACACCCCCCCCCCACACACACCCTACAGCCCGAAAATATGACAAGTTGCATGTGACTGTGTCATTCCACGACAAATTAAGATGATTGACTTCTATTGGGTTATCTCCGGTGTCAATTAACCTTCAAAAAGATCAGTGCTGTTTTAGACCTACTAATATATCGCTGTGTACACATTTTCATAAATATGCATTTATGTGCAATCCCTTAATGCAATACATATATTACTAAGTACTTATTCTTTGGCATTTAATTGAAATCTATTTTTTCTGTATAACTCATGCTCCTTTAGGTGAGCGGTTTAAGATGCGTGATATGACCACTATCAAAATATTCCAGAATTTTCTCGTTCCCTGAGGCACTTTGATAGTTCTTGTGTTTGCGTAAGCAAAACTTTTGCATTGGAAGAGCATTTAGCTCGATAAGATGTTGATTGCACTCACCTTACGCTAATGTTGCTGTGACTTCGCTTTTGCTGTTCCTCTTGAAGATCTTGAACATTTTTCACAGCAAGCCAATGTCTTGCTTGTGCTTGGATAGCGATAATAAGCTGACGAATATATTGATACTGCCTTCGGGTTTGGTAACCGCGAACGCAGTTCTGAATTTTTATAGTTGCTTGTATGATTCTTGCGCTTCGTATTCTCTCGAAATGAGCTAGAACTCCATTGCCGAAAAATATCTTCGTCCTTCCTAGACGGTATTTACTACTATCCTAAGAACATTAAACCATATTTACTACTACGCATCTTCAACTTTAAAATATCAAATAAGACTAGTCAAGAAACGTGTTCATTAATCATAACAGGTGAGCGTTTCACTTGCCTCTAGAGTATGCTTAATGATAAGCTCCGATTGTTTCATGGGATCGTCCCTTCGAGAAACGCCTTTTGGGGTGAGCTGCCAATAGCGACTTAAAAAATCCTCATAGGAGCATCTAAAAATGTAGATAAGAATACCCCTCAAGGAGAGAATGATCGGAGATCCAATCTGAGGAATCGAGAAAGGAGAAAATGGCCTTTTGGCATTGTGCCAATCAATTAAGGGCAAATGGAAAGACAATATACTTTTTTTGCTATGAATTTTGGGCACAGGACTTTTCGGACACATATCGATCAGTAAGTAAGTCATAATTCAATTGAGGATTGAGATCATGCCTAGCAGAAAAGCGTGATTGCTCATAATATATTCACTACAAGGGAATGTCAATGTCATGAGCGCAAATCCCAATTCGAAGAAAGAATTATGTCATCCTCTGGGATAATCAATTATGCAGCGTCAAGAAGATTTGAACTCCCATGTGAGTCAAAAATTCACTCAAAAATGGAATATCGAAATTCCAGAGTTCCATTAATTTAAGTCCGAAAGGAAGCAGAAGGAAATGGTTATAGTTCGTCGTGAAATACGTTAACGTAGATTGGGAGCATCTCAGATTGAGAATGGTGAAATAAGAAACAGGAAGCATGTGACTTAAGTGTATTTCCTCAACCAGAGTTCCAAATTAGCACTTACAGACCACCAGCCAATCTTATAACTGCCCATATCTCACCGAAACATGGTGATTACCTACACAATCAACTTTACAATCATTTTGACAATAAATCTATAATCGAACAGACTATATCAAAATTTGAGCTAAATGCATATGGAACTGCCATTCACCTCGATGGATAGCCAGCAGCGCTGATTTTGACAGTCTGAAGAACTCCGCAAGCCCTAAGTTGTTGCATTACACGCTCCGGACAAAATCTAAAGCAATAGGATGCTCTTATTAGAAGTTACTCAATTATTATATGAAGAAAAATTAGCAGACCTACGTGAAAGGAGCTTTTTCATCATTTGGTTTAATGCAGCGGACATAATGACACGTCGTGGAGTTGAGGATTTCCATCAGGGCTTTCAGCGATTCCGAAAACTACACAAAAGTTACATCCTTCACAATCACCACATACTTTTTTGTTTCATGTTGAATTAAATGTAAAGTGAACTGGTGAATTGTTCACATTCTAACTAAATTACTTAAATACACCCCTAAATTGGCTTTAACAAAGGCATTTCCTGCTTCAATTACTAATCTCATGGTCATATAAACTATTAAAAATTATGACTGGCTGATGAACTTCTTTGAGCATTAATTAATTCGGTTAATTGCAATTTCGCCCAATTATATGTTAGAGCATTCGAAGTGCAAACTTACCTGAGTAATCACAGTTGGCTTGGTGAAAATGCTCTGATGTTCCCCAGCTCCGTTATTTGAGCCTTTAAAATCCTTCATCATTTGCTTCAAAATTTGATTCTAAAAGCAGTGAAAGATAGTATCGCTTAAGAAATGTTGAATTTCTTATTGACTCAAAATGGTATATCTACAAGGAGATCGCGTAGAGGGACCTAGTGAAATGGTGAAATTCTAGTATTTTGTGGTGCGGTTCACTGATTACTCCATCAATTGTTCATTTGACTGTAGATTTATAATTTGAACATTGATTAGCCTTTTGGACTCTCCTGGGATAGTATCAGATTGACTATCATCACAAAAAAAACAGTGCATTCTCTGCTTCAAGATGCTAAACAAAACCTTCAATTGGAAGAAGTATTGCAATTCTGAAGTTGAGCTTACGCCCGGATCATGAATGTAAACTGAAAAAAATAATTCGTTGTCCGCTCTTATATAAATAAAACATGCATTTCATGACGAAATATGCAAATCTTTGATACATTTAATCTCTACCGCATTTTAGCTCCTATCAAATTCAAATTGAATCATACGCTTTTTTAAAACAAAAAAAATTTGTATGGTCAACTTACTTCACTGTATGCCAAAATATTGACATGCTCGGGAATGATACGATCGAGGTTCTTTTCTACAAACCCTTCCACAGTGTATTCAACTGCTTCGGAGAAATGTTGAACGATAAATCGCTTTTTAGCCCAAAATTTTGACTGACCGAAATCACGACTTTTGCCCGAATGCTCATTGCAAATCCGTGCTAACCAATTGTTGTCCTGTGGCTTCGGCAGCTAAGCAAAGAGAAGGCATTAGTTATATAAATATTGCATTCATGTAGTTAGAATCAGGATTTTTATTTGAATAATAGGCGTAAAATAATAATTATATTAAAGGGAACCCACCTTGCTTTCATCATTAAGCAGAGTGATTAAACCCATGGGACCTTCAAATAGCTCTATGCAAGGTTCATTGTCATAGTAATCTACAAAGGTCCAGTCAAGACCCTCAGACATATATTCTTCCTGTTCAAGTTGAAACACATTCTGAAGGCAAAATGCAACTGTTAAAGAGATTTGCTAATTGTTACGATCTAGACGAAAGTCAGAAACTTGCCTTAACGAATCTTTGCTGCAATTTCTCATTGGCAAAGTTTATGCAGAATTGTTCAAAGCTATTTTCCTCCATCACCTCAAAGCCATAGATATCTAATATTCCAATAGAGTTCTCTTTCGATTGTAGCTCCTACATTTAAAACAAAGTACTGCTAGTTTTATGGCAGGCAATAATGTCAATACAGTTAATGAAAGAGGTTTTTCCTTTCACTTACTGAACGATCAATCAATGCTTCATTGCACTTTATAACAATCCAATTGAATAGTTGTTGATAGATAAGTTTGGCAAGACTATCCCTGGCACAAACAGCTTCTTGGACGCTTAAAGATTTCATCATATCACCTTCCGGCGTACGGATAATCCGATGACATAATTTTGACGTGATATCTTGTTCAACTTCTGCGGCATTTTCGCAATTGAGTGCCCGTAAAGCGTATGAAAGTGAATTCGCACTCGCAGTCTTTAAATGAATGATGCAACACAATAATATTTATAATTGTCACATAGTGAGTAATCGGTAAAACTCACATCAATCTGAGAGCCATCTTGAGCAGTTTCGGTAAATGTCACGTTACCCAGATGAAGAATTGCCGCTAGAAGAGTTAATACGCTATCGATTTCCGCTTTGTCAAATTCTAAACTTTCAAAGTTAATAATAACAAGAACGAAGACATGCATTCATGTACCTAAATTGAGCATTGCTTTCATAGTTGTTTCAAAACCGAGCAAATCATTCCTTCCAGAATCTTGTAAATTTGAGTAATTAAAAGTGCTGAAGTTGCTCAAATGCAAATTATGTAAAATGGGGAAGGTTTTCTTGAATGTGGGGTCGTTTGCAGCAGTTAAAATTTGATAAAATATATGATAATTCCTCTCCCGCTCATTCTGTTCAAGAAGAAATGAGAATAAAAAGAGAATAAGTAAGAAAAGTGGAAAATGACTGGCATTACCCGGAGTACAACGCGGGATTTCTCAAGGAGAAAAGTTTTAATATTCGCTCGAATCAGCTTGTTCGATAACTGACAGAAATGGAGTTCGATGAATTTCCCAAATCGGCTGCTATTATCATTCCGTAACGTCTTTGCATTGCCTAGGCCCTCTAACAGAGGAGAACTGGCTAGCACGCGCTTCTGTATTGAGGCTCCGTTCTTACACGGAGCACAGCACCTTTGTGATGTCATGACAGTCAAGTACATTAACACATGACCGGTTGAAACTGTTTTTCCTGCTCCAGATTCGCCCGATATGATGATAGACTGGTTTTGATGCAATCTGGATAGTAAATTTATATATCAAGGACAGTATTCTGCGTGTAAGTAAGTAAATAGGCTTTGTATATCATATCAACCTAAGTCAGTTACAACATACGTATGTTAAAATATTAAGTGCTACTTATAAATGTTGTGTTGGATTGCATTATTAATGAAATTCATGAGCAACCATAAAATTAAGAGTTATTCACAAGAGATTAAGTAAAAAGACTAATAAACTCAGTTACCTAAAGTGCTTTAAAAATTGTTTCAAGTGAAATAAATTTCTAAATTAAATGTCAATACTCTATGAAGGAATGATAAATATAACAAGCAGTGTGTGCCTTAAAAGATCTCTGAAAAATCATCTAGATAGGTAACTTATGAATTTTTTACAATTATATTCTTAAATAAAACTTTAAAGTTTTTCGCATAAAATTGCACTTTATCTAAAGGTTTTCGAAGAAAGCGTACCTATGGGGCTTCTCCTTAAGAAATTTAAAAAATTATGCATGCTCAAGGGCTATAAGATTATCTTTGTTATTAAAAAAAGAAACGAAAATCGATGAAATACAACACAAATTTTGGCACCGAGTGTGTAAAATACCATTATATTATGAAATTTACTTTTATAATATTTAACCCTGGCATAATGTACAATTTTTTAATCACACCTTATATAAACTGAGAGATCTAGCCATGTAATGCTGATGTAGATTACTACAAAATCATACCGATATTTCATACCTATGAACGAGTAGGTTAGACATTTACTTATTATTACCCATCCCCCTACATTTTCATTCGACTTAATGCTTCATCGGCGATAGCAAAAATATGCGGATCACGTTTTATCTCCGAGTCGATGCTGTTCTGGTTGTAGGCACTCATAAAATCGGCACTATATATCGGTAGATCCTTATAAGGGTTTAAAACGACTAATAAGAGTCCTATAACGAAAAAAGATTTGAGTTAAAAAGTATTAGCTTTCAGAAGTATATTTAACAAGACAACGTGAATCATACCGCAATAAGTATAAATATCCTTTTGGTTGCAAAAGCGGGTCTTTAGGGTATGTAAAACTAAATTTAATTGTTAATTAAGATAGATATTTACCCTCGGGTTCGTTAATAATGTCCATACATGATAAATCTATTTGGGGTATACTTTTAAAACTGCATTCAAAAATTTCCTCAATTTTACAACTGAGTGAATTCAAATCCATTATTTCTTCGGAATTATTGTCCAACCATTTTATATTGACCGATGAACCACTTTTCGTAATACCAATTATATGCATTGGTCTCCACAACATTGAAGGATAAGGGATCCAAAGAAAAGCACCCGGATTTAATAGCATATTAACTTTATCTTTGGTTTGCATTTGAATTTTATTAGAAATAGAACACTCTTAAAAAATTTTCCTAAAAATGAGCGATGTTTGATTATGAATGAACGCGAAAAGTTAATTAAAATAATTTCTGCCAAAAACAAGTATAAAGTTTAATTTCCATACTATGGAAGGGAGATACGCATACCATCCGCCTTCTGGTAGTAGCAAAATTGACCTTAATAAATGGTAAGTTTAAACAAAACAAATTACTTGCTGCAACACATATAAAAGAGTTAACCTGTCTTGATTAAAGTCTGTGCTTAGTCTTGGTTTAGGTTTGAACTAATTCGTTCGAAATATAAATGACAGAAATTATGTATGCATTACAAAAATAGTATTACAGAATGCCATATTTAGGTGTGAACATTTGAAATCAATTTAACTCGAAGTATTTTGATTAAATAATACATTTAATTAATGATAAATTCGTTTCGGAAGTGCAAATATATCCATGGTTTAATTTAATTATGCCAAATTATTCCCCCCCCCCATTTGTCTATTGGTTTGAACAGTGATAGTGATGAAAATCAAAATTAACGTTATCTTATGTATACTATCCTTGATTGTGCCATCTACCAAATCATGGACGTAAAAATGAATAAATTTAGACCAATTACGCGTAATGAATAATTTAATTAAATCAGTCAGCGCGGTAACACCTTCAAATGAAAATCAAACAGCATGACCTTACACCAGAGTGTGTGCTCGTCCGTGGTGTTCAGAGACTAAAGATTTACTGATTCATTAGGTATTTGATCTGTAGTATGGATTGATTAGAAGTTTCCAACAGCTAAGTGTAACCGAATGATACCAATTGGCATTAGTATTTTTAGAATTGATAATAAATGTGATCAAAATTTAAGAAGTAATAGCTATCGAATTCGAAAATTGATATTGACGTTTCACATTCAAATTCTCGTTAATATAAATTTCACTTGTAGCCCTGGAGACTTTTCTTGTGATATTATTGACTTTTCATTAAATATTGAAATTCATCAATACAAATTCTTTCCCAGAATTCCGCGTGACAATTACAAATAAAGTAAGATATGAATAGTCTTTCCTTAAGAGCATTAAACCAAGTAGAATTTCTTGCTTTACAAGTTCCACTTAACAAAGAAAGTATATTAGCGGTTTAGCCAGTCTAGGATTAGGCGCATATTTATTTTGTCAAGCGGATTCAAATTGTTTGATTTCATATTAAATATTAATTATAAATTGAGACACGTATAAAGAAAATAAAGGGTAGCACAGGAGCTACTGAAACTTTGATTGGCATTATCAAATATGGCCCCATTAATGAAATTTTAAATATGGCACATAAAGGATAAATTAACTCCCTCCCAAGAATATCTTCCTAAAAAAAACACAATAATGGTTAGTTTAGACGGGCGTGACATAACATTGCCAAAGAACCCTTAAATAATAGAGACGCAGGCTAAGCATCGGCAATACAATTATACCATAAACTTCAGAAGACCTCACAAACTTCACAAGGCGCACCCAAATCCTCCAATAGTTTATTAACAACAATTATATGAGAAAGTATACAATTTGTATTTTGCTAATAATGCTTCATATTGAAAGTTGTATACTTGTATAACTATAGATCCAAACCAAACATTAAAAATAAATACGCATTAGCATATTGGTAAGACTGATTTATCTATAGAATGTTTTTGGAGATCTCTGTTCAATCTAAAGATTCAGGGAAATTTCGATTGCATTCTTGAAAAATTGTCCTACAATATACATTTTTAAATATATGGAATGTGCGCATGATGCGAAATTTCAGTTGAAAAAAATGAATTGAATTTTGAAAGTAGCTAAATTATTTGTTATCGACTTGCTAAGCGGTTACACTGTATTCTATCGAACTTACACACATTGATATAAGATATACTTTGTATTTGAGATCATATACAAATTGTTACATAAGTCAACATTGTAATCAATTTGAAAGAAAAGTGATAAGTCAATAGACCCAAATGTTTGCGATTTCGGATATAGAATCAGCATTGATTTAATGTCATTTCTTGAATTTGCTCTGAACCTACCAAAAGGGATGTTGCAAACTATATTCTGTATTTATCAATTTTTGATAAAATCTGTATAGTAAATTATTCTGTATTCGATCGGAACTGGTTATAATTTGACCAACTTGCATATTGATGAAGTGATAGAAATAGCACTTGCAACCATGGAAGAGATGACAAAATATTTTATGCCGTGAATATGATTTAAAATATAAATTCATCTAAATACTTCACTATTATGACTAAAAAAGAGTGAAGGTTCTGCTTAATGTAAAAAATCTTTTTCGTCGTGGCCAAATTTAAAATAATTTCGTTTGCGGAATATGCGATTTAAGAAAATGTAAATTTTCTTCTATCGTATATTTTATCTACATTAAAAATATAGAAATAGACATTTTATAATTACCCACATTCTCTGAAATCGTTTGTTTTATTTTGTCAACTGCCGGTAAATATAGGATCATCCTCGAATAATTTCAAGCAACTTTACGATATTTGAAGCCATGTCTATTCAAGCCACAAATGTATATAGCACCAATCAAACTGCTGATAATCTTAGCAGACATGACATATTAAATTGGATTAATACGTGTTTGGAATCGAATTATGGAAAGATTGAGGAGCTGTGCACTGGTAAGTTAGTAATATTTATTCGAGCTGTTATCAATTTTTCAATACGTGGGCTATTTTTTTTAACGTTTAGGTGCGGCTTACTGTCAACTTATGGATATGCTATTTCCAGGAACTCTTAACTTTAAGAAAATAAAGTTCAATACCCACTTGGAACATGAATATATTTCCAATTTCAAGCAGCTTCAAGCAATATTTAAAAAACTGGGTGTTGATAAAGAGGTGCCAATTGAGAAACTTGTGAAAGGCAAGTACCAGGATAACTTTGAGTTTGTCCAATGGTTTAAACGATTTTATGATGCCAATTATACTGGACAACCCTATGATGCTTTGTCCGCGCGTGGTGGAGAGCAAATAGGAGGTTCTGGGAAACCGTCAGCTAAACCCCGTGCTGCTCCTGCAAGACCCGCACTTACAACTACCGTTAGAACTACAGCCCCTCATCCTGGTAGGATCAGTAGTTTCTATCATGACCCTAGCACATTAATAAATATTGTCAATGTGGCTCCTCTTTTTATCAAGCACCTCCGAAGCCCGTCGGCCAAGCTCGTTGTAATACCTCATCTGCAGGATCTCGCCCTAATCACCAAGCCGCCGGTGACTCAATGCAAATGAGCGCTCTTAAAGCCGAACTTGATAGTCTTACAGCTCAAGTAATTGGATTTTTTTTAAGAGTATCCACATCTTAGCCGTCTTTTGACTCATTTTTTTTACTTATGTTTTCAGGCTGATGAGGACCGTAAAACTATTGAAGGACTTATGCAAGAGCGCGATTTCTATTTCAACAAGCTGCGTGAAATCGAAGATCTTTGCGGAAAGGTTGATGAAAATGAGATGACCAAGAAGCTCCTTGATATTCTTTACGCGACGGAGGTAAGCGCTTTGTCGTTTAATTTTTTCTGCGTCTTCGGTTTTGAATTTGCTTAGACTATTTAATAGTGCTACATTAGGTAGGAAAGTAATAATCCTATTGTCTTTCATTCGTTACGTTGAATGTAGGATGGTGGGACCAAAGAATCTCTAGATGCAATTAAAGTCAGTGGTTTAATTCCTTTTGTTTCTCATCAATTGTCTGTTTATTTCCCTTTTCCCCTCCATTTGTCTTGAAACTCTTGTTATTGCTACTTTTGTGTTTGTTCATTTTTGGGATGATTGCAGTAATCCAGTTTAATAGGGTGGGCTTTTAAGGCCAACACCAAACGGTCGCTGATCATGTCTAGTCGACCGTGTGAGTTTTAGGTGTGTTTGATGTCTTTCTACACGTTCGTTTGAGTTAAGTGCATTTTAATTCAAATTCACTTGCTCTAAGTCCCTTATTTCTTTTATTTTAGGAGGGTTTTGTTCCGCCTGAGCCCGAAGAGCCGGAGGAATTTTGAGGTTAATGGTGCTGTTAAATTGATGAAGGGAAGTTGAAGCAATCTGTCTCTCGCCGTTTTAGCCTTTTTGTTCCTTATGTGCAGACGCGCTAGTCTTCTTCTTTCTCTCTTAGCCGTTTTTAACTTGCATTTCTCATTTTGATTCTCTTGCTCTGCTATTTCATAAATTCTTACTGTCGAGTTCATACAACTTCTATGAGGAATGCATGTGTACATATCGTTGCTTCACTTCTCACCGCCTCTTTATTATCGCTTCTCACTCTTTAGACTTCTCTCTTATATTCTCTTCCCTGACCATGTGTGCAAAAAAATACTTGACGTAGCTGTGCTTTTTGTATCAGCTTAGTAGGTCGGTGTAATTTTATGCTGTGCTTCTAGTTCAGTATTAGTACGGATGTGGAATGTATCTTAGTGATTTTAGCTCAATTGGAAGACATTCTATCTCGTGTGTTTAAAATGTATTTGTTTTATTCGTATATTTACTAGATTGGAATGCTGTAACTGGTGTTGGTGTTACCCTACACGGTAAACTTTGCCTATACTGACGTACGACGTGTTCTAGGGCATAAGCGTATAATTTTGGGAAGTGATTAACTCGATGGTCTTGATGGAGCTTAACACATTTTATTTTCTAAAAAACACGTTAAAGACGGTTTTGACCTGAAAGTGGGTGGTGTAATGAAATCATATTTGAAAAGGGTTAACCTGTCTTTGTTTACTTCATTGAAAAATATAACTATGCTTGTGACCAGGCGAAGTGCCTTTTGGGTTATCATATTTTTTATCTCGATTTCTGCCATTCACTTGCTTTAAAAGGGTGTACGTGTGAATCTTTGAGAATAAATAGGACTTTGTACCGCTGAGTGACAAATGACTAGCTAACATGAATTTGTTTCTATAAGTATACTTTTGTGATTTATATGTCGCAAAATAAAACTTTGGGTACTCTGTGCATCAATGGTGTCCTGTATTTCCAATTAAAGTTAAATATTGCTCGTTTATTGATTGATTTGCCTTGATGGAATTGTTGTGCTATTCGTCTCCGAGCCTCCACTGCTGTAATAATTAAGTATAGCATGAGTGCCTTTTGTCGGTATTAGTTTGATTGCTGTTGCACATCCCTGAATAGGCGTGTGAGTGGGTTCTCTACAATTGGGGGCGGAAGCACGTCAGTTGTCTGTTGCAGTCAGGTGCCACAAAGACATTCCTCACTGATGCATTTATGCTGTTAGCCAATCAGGCTAGCTATTTGTGACTGTCAAGAGGCGAATTTCTCACATTCGAATGGCTCCAGGGGATGCCTCCATTCCACTTAAATCAAGTGTTCTTAATGGTTGCTTTAACTGAACTTGTTCTGAGTTTGTAGGAGTTAGAGTTCTTTCGAATAACAGTAACATTGTGTGCTTACAGCATACTACTAAAATAGACCTGAATAGCCGGTCAGATTATTACAGTTATTTGTTTCCATTAATACCTCGAAGCTCCCAAATGCACTAAAACAACACGAAAATTTAGGGTAAGCGAACTCGTCTTCTGATTTTATACTAAAAGCGTTTGTCACCAACTTATCCTTATTTGGCAAGTCCAAATTACACATTTAATTAAAATAGATGTGAAAAATTACAGCCTCAAATATTGCATTTTTGAAGCCGTCTTAATATGAAATAGCTGGGGTTGGTTAGATCGAATGGGAATATGAAATTGGATTCTCAGAGATCAACTATTTCACAATCATTTTACTTATTTGCTTGGGAGTGTAAGGAGACTTTTTTTAGAAACTGGACAAGTTTTAAGGGCTGGATCATTTTGTAACCGTATTGCTGTCGCGTTCTATCAGCTATTAAGCCCTGATCCATTAGAACCATCATTTTTTCAGTTGATAAAACCGAAGTTGGAATGAAATAGAATTCATTTGACTTTTTACCTCTCTCCTTAATTACGCTCTTTGGGATTTTTATTCTGGTTGCTACTTTGAAGTATTTATATCAGACGGCTGGCGTTCTGTTAGTTATCATTAGCCAGAAGAGCGGTTCACAGATATAAAAGACAGACAGGCACAAAGGCAGAGAAAAGGCTAGATGAGTGCTGTGGAAGTAGTCGAATATGACATACAGTGGTTTGTTGGTAGTTTGAAGTGAGAAGTCAACTACCAGTTAATAGACATTTTGAGTATACGTTGACCAGGGTGCACCACGTGGAGGTAAGTCTATCGCACACCCCAATTTTGAAGTATCAATTGCTATACTGAAGGAAATCTAGTGAGCTGCATTATGATAAGACCAAGTTAGCTCATCTACTGCTGGTATTTTGACCACTAGGGCAAAATGTATAAGAAATATTTCCCCCATGTGATTAAGCTCCTAACCTGGCAAATTTGAGGTTATTTAAAAAGGAGAGGACAAGCCCCCCAAATACGGAATTTGAAATTTAGGGAAACAAATCAGTTGAATATATCCCAAATACAAAATGCCTAAAGCTTGAATCCAGGACTTAAATTTTAGATGACTCATATGATCCTCTGACTAATTAACACGTCTACTCAATCTACCCCCTCCTTAATTTGTCAGCACGCAAGATTAGAGCCTCCCAATGCTTCCAGGGTTCCAGCCAGTATAAAGTTACTAACCGTTAATCCTCAGATGTCTATAACCCGTTAGCCCTGACAACTGAATTGCTAGCTCTATTGATTGTAACCTTCCGTCAAAAATTCTGTGCTAAAGGGATTTTGCACCATATAGTCTTGTGCGAGTTCATAAATAAACGGGCGTTCTTAGGACACGACCTGCGCCCTAAATGTAGCAGATAATATGGAAGTATTATCGCTTCAAGAGATCTCCCCCAAATGTTACGATTGGCCCAATAACTGCATATTGACTCGTTTCAAAAAATGCGTTGAAGGAGGTTCCATTGTGGAAAAGTGAAAATTGATCTCGCATTGAGGAGGGAAATGTGTAAAAGTCGCCTTAAAATGGGTTAGCTTCTGATTGTTGGCGAATACAAAACCTATCATAGCACCTTTAATGGCAATCTCAACCTCCTTAAAACCAATTTTGTCGACCAGATCTAGTCATTCATTCATAGCTCTAAAGTAGAAGTCTACTTTTGTTGTTGTTTTAATTCGGCATGATTGAACGGCATGATCGCAAGTAGGATGATTCATTTCTTTGCGTTTGTGTGTTTCGTGATCGCAGTTAAGTGTGTGTGTATGTGTGTGATTCGCAGGTGAATTAGGTTTGTGGCTTTGCCTTAGTTACCGAATGCATTAACCTTAAACGTGCATTCAGGTCAATGCCTCACATTTATTCCCCCTCTCATTAATGCACAAATGTTTCCCAATAGAACATTTACTTTAAGATGCGGAAGATTAAATTTCCATTTAGGAGTAAGGTCAAGTCCAGAATAGCTAAATAGTCACCTCTTAACCCATATGGGGGTTATTTTTTTATGTAGAATATGAATTTGGTCCATATTATTATTGTTTTGGAATTTAGTTGTTAATCTTTACTTGTTATCATGCAAGCTACTTTAATTTCATTGTCTTCGAAATATCAGCGTGAGATCGATACCTCTTCTCACGAACAAGATCATCGCTCAAAAAGTAACACAAATGCTTGCTTTGTTGGATAACAGGTCAAATCCAAGGAAGGACACTCTATCTACCTATCAGAAGAGATGCCATCAAATCAGTAGCGAGATCGTTAGAGTCGAATTCTTTGAGTTATTAAGAACTTTAAACGTGGATTAAAATAACTCTCTAAAGGTGGGACGTCGTCAACGCCCACGCTCCATCAAACGCAAATGGAGATAAAACAGCGGACTTGGTGCTATTAGTCGATTTTGGCAAAATTGTATCGACAGTCATGATTTACATCAAATCTAGGCAAATTGTGTTGATACCTTGTTCATAATGGATATCTTCACAGTATCACAACCGACATTTCCAAAGTTTAAATAGTATTTTCGAGATGTTTGCAGCTTATTTACCAGTCAGTTTAATCAAGCGGTTTGCGGTAACATTTCAATGTATTCGTCTGTTTAGTATCATTTAAACAGGTGTGAAATAGTCGGCAGAGCTAATATTGAGTTATAACTCGGAGTCTAACTTTTATTTTGTAATTCAATAATCATGACTTCATATATAATCCATTTTCCCTTATAATGAAAGTTTTGGTTTGATTGGCTAAAACAAACTTACGTGATCTTGGGTTATGTTATGGACTCAGGTTATCTAATGCGGATTAATTTAAACAAAACCGGTTTTCGATAACACTCGTTTAAGCTATTTTGCATCGTAAATCTCTGCTCATCTAATCTGCGGATTATAATCATCTTTAATTAACGAACAAAATACTATTAATGAATCACGATTTGAACCACTATGCACTAATGCCTTATTATCTTTTTGGGTACATATAAACCATTCCCATTAGCAAATTCAAAAAGTATAATATACTATTTTTACCAGGAAAGCGTGTGTGAGTGTGTGCGTGAATGCCTAGCATGTGACGTGATTAAACTATAGAGTCATATTTAATGTTAAATGATGGTTCTTCTCTACGTTAATTACAATTTGAAGGGAAAAATAAATATTCGCGCTTATCGATGTAAATACTTTTATACTACTTATGACCATCACTAAATACGTTTGGCCATAAGATACTTAGAAAGCTAGACCTCAAACTAGTCAATCTTGCTAGTCAGAAAGCCCCTTTTACCAGGAACACGAGGAGAAAGCTTTAGATAAGACAAATTTTCTTCGTTTGCGCAGTTGGCAGATATATAGTCATTTGCAAATGGAGCGAAAGATGAAGTGTTCCAGATTTAAAATATTCTAGCAATAACTAGTAATATTTTTATTGAGGCAGTTATAATTCTATTCTGTCCATCTAGTAAAGTAGCAGTCAAACCAAGCATTGCTTGTAAGAACTAGAATGATCATGGTTATACTGAGAAGTTGCGCTTTCCTTCTTCCTCTCTGGAATATCAGGCTGTAGTTGATATTATAGAGGAAATAATTGAGCTCATCGTTTTCAATAAAAAGATTAGACGATTTAAATGTTGGTTTGGCTTTTTCTTACTACCGAAATATCGTGAATGTCATAAATACAACCTACTGAATACTTTATAAGTAGGGGATACTTTAAGACAAACTCATTAAGACGAAAGGTACCGGATTAGCGAGAAACTAGATTTTCTTTTTGGGAATTTCTGACGTTAACCTATAGTGGTCTCATAAATTAACTCTAAACATATTTTAAAATCACATGGATAATCATTCTGATTTAGGTCTTTGTTTGAAAAATTATTGAGGCACTTGCAGGTGGTAAACGGATCTTCTGGCCCCAAGAAAGCAAGAATAACAAAGATAATCGATAATTCTTTTATTAGTGCCTTGGAAGTAAGTGATAGAAGGATCTCGAGTCGAGGAAATGGAAAAATGGCGAGAGGCAACCAAACGACCTCGAAACATGAATGGTACGGAATCGATTATGGATAGATGTGATTAGGAGCTGAGGACAGATAGCAACATATTAAATAGAGACAATAAAATGACAAAGCAAAGTTCAATGAAAGAATATTAGATAAAAGAAATTGATAAAGTGCGCAAAACCGTTGAACGAATAACATATGGAACTATACGAAGAAAAGAGTACACTAAATAAAAATCGATACGCAGATTAAAATAAAAGATATCGAAGTCAAGAAACCAAGCTTATATGCAAACAAGACAACGAAAGCAGGGTTTAAAATTTTCTAGCTAAATTAGGGTTTTTAGAAAAGACGAAAATCTCCGATATTTTTTCTAGTTTCTGATGATTGCTCCACAAATAGCAAGCTCGATATCTGCGGTTGGTAGTTGCACAGGGGACGGTATATTGAGTGACGCATGCACGAAGCTAATCAAAAGTAAGACTTTCTCACAAACATCCTCAAGAAAAGTTGAATTAGATTTCAAGGACAAGAACCCGGCATCAGCACACAAACCACATTTAGGATTGTTCGAAAAAAATTGTGAGGAATAACTTATTCTACCATCCTAAAAGTAATACCTTCATTGTTTATTTACTTATTTTATTTCGAATGGGAGGCGTTTTGATGATTATCAGTAGCCCTTTAGCTGACTTCGGGCTTCACAGAGGGGAGAAACATCAAAGTGTGAAAATTCGAGAGGAGGGAGAGAAGAGTAATTCACGGGTGTAAGAGAGACAGACAGTCAGATACAAAGGCAGAGAAAGGGTAAGATAAGTACTGTGGAAGTGGTTGGATATGACATACAGTGAGAAGTCAACTGCCGGTTTATAGACTTTTTTGCCGTACGAGTATAAGTTGCCCAGGGTGTATCACGTGGAGGTAATTCAATCAAACACCCCATACTTTCATTATTGTACTGCTATGTTTGCAAGGTCGTTGACATCCTCATCTACTAAATAATGGTGAAGTGACTAATTATTGCCGGCAACCCCATTTTTAATGATGGAGAAGTATTTGAACATAGGTAGCAAATAGTAAGCAATAAAGGATCCAGTAAAAGAGGATACAGAATGCGAGTTGGAAGAAGCTTCGAAGCATCCAAATCATCAGAATACTTTGATTAATGGTACTAAGTCCATGATTTATTCTTCTTCTTAGGGTCAAATATGGCCATTGCACTAAAGGCTCCTTGACTGTTTGGTCAATTATGTGGTTAGGCAGGAAAGCTCGTTAAATCGACCTCTTCTTAAAATCATGAAAAGCTTATTTTTTAACACAGCCGAGCTCATTAGAGTTCACTCAAAATAAACCAATAATGATAACATTCCTTTTATTGAAGCAACTAAAACCCAGCTAACAATTCTAACCGAATTCTAGCCACAATTTCCATAGTCAAGATATTTTCATAGAAATAATCGAGAGCAGGCAATGCCAAATCATTTAAACAGTAACCCCTGGAATTAACGGTACTTAGTCCTAAAGTAAGTGCAACAAATTGCACCCAACAGTTAAAAGGGAGGCGGTAAATATTCCGTCATTATTTATTAATTACCAAAAACATGCAATGGGAGTAGCATTAATTAGTGGGAACCTCAGCGAATTGGAACCTTTCACTCGATGCCACATAATCAGCCATATCGAGAGCAAGAGCACAGGAGTCTCTCACAATCGGTTCAGGATCCTTGCAGCCGACCAGCAGTGCCTTGCGGGCTCGTTCTGCCAATCCATTACAATCACCATCGCAGCGTCCCTCCTTTTCATCGACTTCAGCAGTGCCCGCGACCTCTCCTAGGGCCATAGCCGCTTCATGACGCACCATAGGGGCCTCGGAATGATCTTGTAGTCGTTCAATAAGCGAATCGCCGGTACGGGAGATGCTCAGTTGTCCAAGAATGAAGGCGACCTCATGCCGGAGTAAGGCTGAGCCTGGAGCCGCCAGTGAAACTGACAAAGCTTCAACAACATCGGGGAAATGAATGGAGGGTTCAGATCTCCCACTCGCGGTGATCACAGCAGCATTACGAAGTGAAAAAAGCGCTTGATAACGAGCGAATAGGGGTTCAGAAGTTGAAAGGAGAATTCGACGCAATTCGGAAATGGGATGTACTGTGGAGGGCTCAAAGGATGGAGCAGGATCGACAGTATTTGGAAATTCCGATTCTGCTCGTTCAGCGACTGGATCTGGAATCTTCTCCGGACGTTGTAACCACTCAATTCGACCCAAACCGACTTCACATGTTTCCGCCACCTAAAAAAAGAAAGAACAAACGTAGAGCTAATGACAAAACAATCTTTTACCAATCGAAAAAAAAAATATCAAATGAATAATTTACCTAGGACTTAAAATTCGTTTAGATTCCATGATTCATGAAAACACTATTTCCAGGATGTTTAAAGGCTCAAACGAAAATTCAGAAGCTTCAGGAGAAACAGCTCGTCACAACTTAAAATTCAACTGATAGCTCAAGTCCAAGCAATGAGAACGCCAAAAGAACTTGTGGAATAGTACAATTTAAAAGAAAAGCAAAATCATCAGCAATGTCTGTAGTAATAATTAGAAGGAAACTTAACAAATTGAAAACTCCCAATCGATGACACATAATCAGCTATATCGAAAGCAAGAGAAACAGGAGCCTCTCTCTGAACGACCTTGTGACTTACAATCCACATTTAAAAACGAATACACATTCAATAACTTACCGCGACGATGTTGATATTCCTGAATTCCTTGAGAACACTTTTAATGTACTCAATATCCGCTCCAGGCGTGGAAGCAAGGGCTGCAAGAGCTTCCGCTGCCTCATGTCTCACAATAGGCTCATGATTGGGGTCGCGGAGGGCCTTTTCAAGGTCAGGGATGGCCGAAAGGTCACCACGTTGTCCGAGACAATAGGCAGCTTCGTGTTGAAGGAGAGCGTTGGACCCGGGCTCGGGAGGGTGCACCTCAGTGACATAGGCGGCCAGCAAGCGAGTTGCTAGGGGCTCCCTTGCGTGACGAAGACCCCACATTGCGTGAGCACGTTCTACCAAGGGGATTGAGGGATCACGGATCTTGGAACCCCAGGAAGATAGTTCCTCCTCAGAGACAGCTCGAATTTCGACAGCAGGCATGATATCTAGGAGGAAGAATGGTATCGATATCAAGATAAACTCAAGACTCAATTATATGCATTTGCCTAAACGAGACCAGCTAACCATCGCAAGCATGCGAAGGCAATTAGTCAACACTACGGAAAAGTACAGTATGCAATACAGCACATGGATATTTCAAATGCATAATTAGAGCTACAAAACAAAGTTTGTACGAGAATTTGCACAGGCGTTGAAAGCATACATTGAAGTGAAACACATGAATGCTAGCATTTCAGAGCAAATCGATTAGAAGAAGCAAGACCGTGAAAGCAATGATCAATCCTACTTATCAAATGGACAAAGTTAGCACCAGTAAAAGACGAATCGATCGCAGAGGAGAGGAGGTAAAGTGGATATTTTGCTCATCAGAAAGTAAGCCGAGAGTGCTAAGAAAAAAGTACCAAGCAAACTACATTTCAGGCATCTATGAAAGTCATTTCAATATTATAGGACATAGCAGGACAAAGAGATGATTAAAAAGGGAAACAATGAAAGAATTAAAAGAAAATTCATAATCAGTCCCAGGAAAGAGTCATGGGAAAAAAATATTTCGAAGGTCACAATGCGGTAGGTGGGAAACGGAGAAGAATCGAGGATTTAAGACATAAATGTGAAATTCAGATCATGGGATTAACTAGTTGCACTATCAACTACTTGAACGTGGATATGCCCACAATGAATATTTTTTTAAGCAGAAAAAAACCTAAGAACCAACTATATTGGGAAGTGAAAGACTAAAGTGACACGACCACGTGTTTTGGTGCTTAAATAGGTGGGATAACTCGACGTTACACAAATAAAACTGGCTTGGGGGGAATCGGGTGGAAATTCGAGCATAACTAGTGGAAACTAGGGCTGAGAAATCATTGCATATGAAAAAGCTTGCGGAAAAACAGGATTGTAAAGGGGGGGGGATACCATCTCAGGAGGAGATGGAATGACAAAGTTACCAAATGAGGAGCGCAAATATATGCATTTTATAGCCAAGATCGAAATTGTAATCAAGAGACCATCTAGCAGACAAGTGCAAACTAGCATACGTATACACACCACACTGATTAGCAAACACGTAAAATCACTGCACAGCAAAGGTGGCCTAACACAAGAAAAGGAGGCTGGCATTAATTTGCAGGGTACTTTACTCAAATAAATAGACAAATTGAATAAACGAATGAATGAAGACAAGTGGAAGGAAAGGAATGGGAGGAATGAGGTAGAGAGAGAGAGATCGGACTAGATGGCGTTTGAATGTAGAAAAAAAATGCGAGAGGGGGGGGAGAGAACAACAGAGTGGTTAAAGTAAGGCCAAAATGAGATCGCGCTCAAAATTTTACAGCTAAAAATAACTGTTTACGCATAAGCGTAATTGTGTTTGAAATACCAAAAATATATATCATAATTCTTGGTCCAAGGAAAGTTGAATGGTCCCATGGTGCTAAAAGTGGAGATAGAGTGGGATATGAGAAAGAGAGAGAGAGAGAGGTATGGCGTGGGGAGGGGGGAGGGAGATAAAATAACAAGTGGGCTGTATATGTTGATAAAACGAAGGCGCATCTATACACATAAACACATATTGCGCTGCGCTTGATTATGCAGTTGCGTTTGAGGATTCTGGTGAATCGGTCATTGTTGAAGCGTCTACACCAATCCGAGGTAATGTTTGCGGATGGGAGCACTGAATGTGATTCATGAGAGACACGAATCTGTTTGTCATCTTCTCCTCTAATTCCATGAGATTTCTGAAATTAAGCAAAAGAATTGATAAAGATGTTACGCAAATCGTTCAAACCAAGACGCACTTCAATCATAGGAACAAGACGATTGGAATCAACTCCTTGATATGTGTAAAACTCAGATGGAATAAGTTTTAGCCAGACCACATCTTGACGATTTAAAATTAAATAGTTAAACACTAGAACCTTTTCGAAGTCATTAGAGACGTAAACGGAGAGGACAGAACAGGGGTTTAGTTTACTTTCAGAGCCTACGACAAAAGATTTCACAACCCCAGTATTTAAATACAAATAATCTTGTATTCAATACACTTTTATTATATGGATGAAATACGAGAATAATATACGTGGATTTGGCCTTTTTTGACATCAAAGTTGCATTCGTTTATTAGATCCATCAGGAACCAATTGTAGAACCTGCGACCTTGAGAGTTCCAAATTGCACCCTTTTTCCCGTTGCTGCAGCGATCACACTACATTCTCCCATTATGATCCACAATCATCATCTCTATAATCGAGTAATCAATTTCCAAGCCAATAGCATGCCGAAAACTTCAATCTTGAAATGCCTGGGAAGTATGAGGTGAATTAATCTCTAAATCAAAATGCATGTAACAAATTCAAAAAATAGCTATAAGTTCAAATTTTACACATTTCGATAGAGAACGACTGTAGCAATCGGGGACGCGCAAAACGGTTTTCAAAAAAAATAGTATTGAAAATTTTAATATTATTGCTTCTAGTAGAAAAGAGATGAAGCTGACCCTAGTAAAATCGATCGCGCAGCAATGTCTTCACTAGAGCCGACATGAAAAGCCATGACCACCGCCTCCAAATATGCGCAACAACAAATTCGAGGGAAGGATGGGAGGTACTGTAAATGTGACCTGGTTCGACATCCTCTGCATAGCTCTCACTTACCTGTAAGCGTTTTAACGACTTCCTGATAAAAGATAAATTTTGATTGGAGGAATATATGCAAATAATAATACCTGGATGTAGAGACGGTCGGAGATAAAAAGTTCATCAAAGCAAGAACTTCCAAACACCACTCCTTAGAAAATGTTTATCATGTCTATTTTAAATTTGAGTCGCCACTGCAGAACTTTGTGAATTTTCTACAGCCCTCTAAATATACGAAAGTAGAGCTGAATTTCATAAACTGTACTCCCTGTGCACTGAAATGTTGACTATGACTTCTCCACACTGATATGCCTGGAAATGAGATTGCACTACTGCTTCAAGTATTGCTTAATCAGGCGCAAATCGAATCGTCCTCAAATCCACATACTATCAAGACTCCTTAGAAATGGAAATTAAGTTGAGATTCGAGTGCACATTATTCTTTCATCTGTATTTGGGTAATTGCAGGGAGTGTGTGTGTGTAATCAAAATAGTAGGTATTGTTCAGAATGAACTCTGATGGATTAAATTAAGTTAAAATTCTTGCAGACTTAGAGATGAGAGCAACCAATTTGCGTGTGAGAGATTGCAGCAAAGTATACGCACGCAAATATTTCCTATTGAAGATCATCACCAAGACCCAGCCGAATGCTCTCAAAGTGTCAAAGAATGCGATTTTAAGAGCGAAGAAACCTGCCACCCAATTGGAGTTCAATCGAAAACTTCCAAGACTGAAATCTTCAAGTTGCTGTTTTAAGCTCAAACGACATATCGAGCAATGTATCGTACATTCAAGTAGTTACTTGGCTAGGAGTCCAGTGGTTTATTTTAAAGTTCCAAAGAATCAAATACGCAGTTCACGATTGATATATATTCCAGAGTGGGGTGTGCGATAGACTTACTTCCACGTGGTGCACCCTGGGCAACGTATACTCATACGGCAAAAAAGTCTATTAACCGGCATTTGAATTCTGACTTCCAACTACCACGACCCCCCTGGTTGTCATATTCGACCCCCTTCACAGTACTCACCCTACCTTTTCTCTACCTTTGTGTCTGTTTGCCTCTTTTACATCTGTGAATCGCTCTTCTGTTCCCCACCCCTCGACTTTCTGCTACTTTGATGGACCTTCCCTCTGTGAAGACCGAAGTCAGCTAAATGGCTAATGATATCTATCAAAACGCCTGCAATTTGAAATAAATAAATATATTCCAGAGTGGTTGACACCACCAGCGAAATAGAAAAAAAGATCTTTCTATGCAACAAAGAGAGTGAAAAAAGCATAACTCAAACTCATACTAAATTATCAAAATTTAAAATGTGAGGATTTAATAACGCTCAACTTAATTGTTGTTCAAGCTATTTATGATTAAAATTGAG